GCTAGTCACTTGGTCAATGACGGCGCGATGCAGATGGGCACAGTTGCCACACACGCACCTGGTTGACGATCGACCTGATCGGAATTTCAGAGTCCACGCGCACCGTAGCGTGCGTGTACGTGTATGGCAGACGCACCCATGCGCGGCGATGGCCGCTGCGCCGCCGTCTTGAGCGCAAGGACGCGCGCCGGCCGCGCGGCCAGCGTATCTTTATCATGCCTCGCCGGTTCCTCCGGATAGCGCCGGATAACCGAGTGGCACGACCAACCGAACAAACCGAATTGCAAGCGTAAACCGATGGGCAAGTCGTGCCGGGACATGGCGGAGCAGCTCCGCGACTGCATGCTCGAGATGGAGTGCATGAGCGACGGTAAGCGGACGCTCAAGACGTGTCTCAAGCTCGACGAGTACAAGCACGAGTGCAAGGTCGCCTCGAACCCACGGCAACGACAATGGGCTCATTGGCGCACGATAGGAATACCGCTACGCGTACTTTGAGTGCAAGCGTGGCCAGATCGACATGCGCCAGCGCATCCGCGGGCCCAAGGGCGGCGCGTCGCAGGACTAATGCGTCATCGGCAGCGATAGAATAGAGACACGCCTTTGGTTAAATAAGCGGCTTTTCCTCGGACGTCTGCGAGCTCGACTGGTGCGTCTCGCGCGTATCTTCCAGCAGCGCCCTCTCGACGCGATCGAGGTTCGAGAAGATCTGCTCCCGCAGCGTCGCCTCGTCACGAAACACATCGTTGGCCGGCGCGATCGTCTCGGTGGTCGGCGGCTTGATGGCCTCGGACGGCGCAACGTTTCTGACTTGATGGACGACCGTGATCCGTCGCTTGTGTTGGCGGAGCGAGCCATCGAGATCGGTGACCAAGAGGTCGCCGGCGACACTTTTCGGCGCGACCGACGGCATTGTTTCATCGACGCGTTGCATCGACGGACCTCGGCTCGGCAGCATCGTATGGCGCGTCACCGTCTCTTGCGCTGCGGTCATGAGACGCACGGCCACTGTAAGCTTCTCGATCGACTGCTCCATCTGGTTGATGCGCGACGTGACGTCGTGGAGGCACGTGGTTGCGTCGTATAGCATTCGCAGCGCAGCCTTGTCAGTGCCCATGCCATGTCGATCGCCTGCAACGTGCTGGGGCACATGATGGGTGGGGCGGTGCGCGGAGGATGGGGCGGCCGATGGCCCATGGCCCGTGGTCTTGGCCACATTGGGCTTGACAGCGTCGTTCTTGTACTTTTCCATGATGAGCGACTCGAGCTTTTGGCGATCGTCCTTGTGGCGCGCGATGATTTGGCGGAACCCCGTCCGGTGCAGAACGCAGAGCACGCAGAACGTCTTGGCGCGGACACACGCCGTGCGCCGGCAGTCCATGAGCAGCGCGATTTCGCCAAAGTAGTCGCCGACCGAGATGAGCTTGATCACGCGCTTGTCTCGACCACCGGCTTCGACGAGCACCTCGCACTCGCCCCGCTGCACGAAAAACATCTCAAATCCGGTCTCGCCAATGTTGATGATGAAATCCTCGGGCATGTAGACGCGCGTCTCGAGCTGGAGCACGATCTCCTGGACGACTTCGGGGCTGCACTCTTGCATGAGCGGCACACTTCGAATCATTTTCTAGCCATCCACCATCCATCCGAGATGAGATGCGTCCATGCAAAGGAATGGGATCGATCGCCGTACCGCGTTCAGGTAGAGCATGACTTCGCGCTGGAGGTTGGTCGAGAGCTCCGAGACAAACGGCGCGGACCGGCCGTCTAGGGTGTGGTACTGCTGCCAGAGGTACGTGTAGTAGAGATGCACGCGCTGCTGGACTTCCTGCGGCAGTCCGAGGTGCTGCATCGACTCGTACACGCCCTTCATCTTTTCGCGGTACTTGGTCGAGTCCGCGTACAGACTCGAGACAACGATTGCGACGTCGCCGTAGACCGTCGCCATGGCCACCGAGCCCGCGATCGACACGAAGGTGAGAAAGATCATCTCGTTCATCGACGTCGGCAGAATGTCTTGGCCAAGGAGCGCCATCATGCAGTTGTAGTAGCAACGCGCGTATGTGGAGCGGAGACTGGTCGGGTCAAAGTGGATGTCGCCCCACCCGCCGGGCGCGGACGCAATCGCGTACCAGATACAGGCGCAGATGTGGTCCATGTACATCACAATCAGAATCAAGCGCACGAGACGCGTGAGGACCGAGCCAGTGGAGAACTCGAGCCACCACCAGAGCGGACCGTCTGTCTTGAGCGCCTTGGCCAGTCGAAGGATGCCCAAGACCCGCGGAATCCGAGTGGCTTTGAGGAGCACCGCGTCCTGGATGTCGGCCATACGCACGTGCAGAAGCGTCTCGATCAAGTCGATGGGAATGACCGCCAGGAGGTCCAGAAGCAGCCAACCTACAGTTGTGACAAGACATGGAAGGGGAAACGTATATGTACTTTGCGCATAGTGGCACGCGATGCGGGACCGAGATCGAACGAGGTACTTGTCCTTGGCCGAGATGCTGCTCGAATACTTGAGGGTGAGCGTGCGCTGCTCGTCCCGCGGGTCGTGTTCGTAGTAGGCAATGTTAAAGGTGACGAGCACGTCGAGCGCAAACAAGACGTCGACGACGTAGTGAAACACCTGCCACGGCGTCCCGCGCAGATCCGGGTCGACCCCGATCGCAAACGGAATGTACAC